CTCAAATGTATCCCATCCATTGGTTGGTGCATCTTATTGTCTTCTGTCTTCACCACTGGCCCGTTGGTCGTTCTCAGGACAGCATTCAACTGGCACCAGAAAAGTTTTTGTTTGTGTTCCTCTGAGCTCCATTTCAAATAGGTCTTCTTTTTTAACAGCTTCCTAAGCTTGCTGAATCTCTGTGGAATGCTGTTGGGTGGCAGGTCTTCCAGCACCACCATAATGAGAGAATCTTGATTTTCATTAAGGACCCGATGTTCGGCAAAGTATAGCTCGTATTGGCACCAGCAACTGTTGACAAAGCTAGGTGACAACACAAAAAGCACTTTATGGCTGTTCTCAATGCAATAGAAAATGTTCCCAAGAACTGGGTGTCCTGGCATGAAGTCTCTCTCATGGTAACATACTTTAAACCCATTTGTTTCCAGATTTTCTAGCAGGACCTCTTTTGTCCAGGGTGCATCATTTTCACTGTATGAAACAAAGGCATCGTACAGTTTGTCTTCAGCTTCCTCGTATTGTTTCCTCTTAGCCATGCACCAGTACCAGCCCATCTTAATATACCAGGGGCCATGGAAACGCCAGCAGAGGGCCGTGGTGATGGACATAACCAAGATGGCCACACATGCAGTAATACCCATTTGAAGGCCAAGAGAACAGTACATTATTGTTAGGTTGCTGTTTTCCACCAAAAGACCTCGCTTCGAAGGCGGGAAGCTGCACCTCAGGGCATTTCGGCCATGTATCTGTATATCTGGGCTAGCAAGATATGTGTTTGCAAACCAATACAAGTCGCAGTTACAGAAAAAATGTTTCCCTTGAACAGATAAAACTTTCAGGTTTACCAAACGGCCAAAGGCCTCCTTCATGATGATGGTAATGGCATTGTTGCTTATGTCCAATTCAAGCAAAGATCCAGGCAGAGACCCTGGTTGCAAAAAGGAGATCTTGTTTCCTGACAAATTCAGACACTTTAATTCTGGCAGAAATTTTCCCATCTGATCATCTAACTCTGTAATTAAGTTATGACTTGCATCTAGGTTGTTGAGAGAAGGGTATGTTGTGTTGAAGTTCAGCTGCATTATGAAATTTCCAGAAATATTAAGAGTTTGTATTTTTTGGTGTGTGCCAAGGAAAGGGAACTGACGTATTTTATTTTTACTAATATCAAATTCTTCCAGTATGTTTGGAAGGTGCTCTGGTGAAATATTTTCTATTTTATTGTTCTGGATTTTAATTACTGTTAAGTTGGAGAAGAGGTTAAGGCTTGCCATACCTTTGATATTACCATTGCCTAAATCCAGGTGCTGCAATGAAGTTGGCAGATGGGGGAATGTATTCATGGGATTATCGCTGAGGTCTAAAAGTAAAAGTTTTTCCATTTTATTTGCAAACCATTCTGGAAGTTCTACAATAGAACAGTTCGACATTACTAGATGCTTTACATTCTTGGGGAGGCTTTGAATGGGAGTTCGTTTTGGAAAATCAACATATGAAATGGATTGATGGTGCATAAGCGGAAATTTTGTCCTCACAGATTCCCCAAATTTAAGTGTTGCTGCATTGTATATAAAATGGTTCCCTTGGACATACATCTCTTCTATATATGAAAAAGTTGTGGCAAACCTTTGAGGGATTTCATTGATCTGGGTGAAAGATAAATCAATGCTTTTGAGGCTTGGAGGGAGACAGAGGTTTTTCAAAGTTTTAAGAGGATTGTGGCTAAGGTTTAAAAACAACAGTGAACTATGCTCCAGTCTATACATCACTCCTGTACACATAGCATTTGCAGTTATTTTGTTACAACTCAGATCAATAGCACGAACGTTCTTCATTTTAAGAAGCAGTGAAATTAGGGTTGTGAGATCTATTTCCAGGTTATTATGGCTGGCATTAAACTCTTGAATTTTGTCCAGTGTAGCTTGGCAAGGTCCGGAATCCATTTTCCTTCTCAGCTCACTTTCAGATAGGTTTCCGTTTGATAGATCTAACACGCCATTCACTGGGATTCCACAGCCTGTTGCCATCATTGCTACTGAAGGCAAAGATATATCATTGTACCTTTCATGACCCACAACCTTCCACTTGGACAATGGATGCTCATGTAAATTCTCCTTGGCTGGTTCAGGAGACACCATTGCACCCAGTAATGACTGATCCTTTGATGAATTTACCTTGATTTCTGAGAACTTCTGAGGTGGTGGTTCCTCTGCTAGATTGTTAGATAAAATGGCTGTTGAACCTAGTTTAGAGTTCCGGTTTTGCTGAAGATTTAAAATTTCAAGAGTGTTGGGTTGTTCTGTCATCCTCCTGGTCACATTTTCCATAACATTTTTCAAGAAATACGAACTTTGTCTAAGAGTTGGTTGTTCAGGTTCTGAATAATGGTTTAAAGCGTGATCACTGGAGGGTTTGGAAAGATAGGTCTTTGGGTTTTGAAATTGACCTTCTCCATCACAGGAGAGAATAATGAGGTAGAAGTACAGAATTGTGATGAAGATTTCCATCCTGGAAAAGCAAAGAAACAACATCATTGTGTGTAAAGAGTAGTCTGATGATGATGATGATGATGATATTTATTTTCTGGCCCTCCTCAAAGCTCAAGGCGGGGTACAACATGTTAAAACACAATTAAAATACAGTGGGCCTTTGGTATCAGCTGGGGTTTGGTTCCAGCCCCCTCCCCTGGTTACCAAATCCAAGGGTGTTCAAGTCCCATTAAATGCAATGGGGTAGTAAAATGTTGTCCCTTGTATAAAATGGGAAAGTCAAAGTTTGCTTGTTGGAATTTATATTTTTTAGAATATTTTCAATCCGTGGATGCTTGAATCCATGGGTAAAAAAAATCCATGGATACAGAGGGCTGACTATACTTAAACCCACAGTTAAAATACAATACTATAAAATCATTAAAATATACTCATAAGAGTTCATATGCATTAAAAAATACACATAGAATTCTTAAAGTCTGGAGGGCTGTGATTTTACATTGCAGTTGCACAACTTTATGCATACTTAGGTACATAGCAGGGGCACTACGAAGCTCTCCTAGTGAATTGCAAAGATGTATATCAGAGCACCTGCAAGAGTGTCCCAATGTGCATTGGGCTGTACCAATGCATATCAGCACTCCCTAGCCAGTGTCCAGATGAGCATCCGGAAAACCTGATGCACATTGGTCCTGTTGCGTGTTGCATTTCTTGGACCATTGGTCTTATTGTGCTTTGGTGCCTGTTGTGCATTGGTCCTGATGTCAAACAGTCACTTTGCTAGCTTGCCTATGTACCAACATCATTTTGTATAGACTGAAGCTTAGAAACTTCCAGAAGAGGCAATTCAACCCTTTTTATGGCCAGAGAGGGCAAGGTTTGGAAAGAAACAGCCTTGGAATCTATCTATCTATCTATCTATCTATCTATCTATCTATCTATCTATCTATCTATCTATCTATCCATCCATCCATCCATCCATCCATCCATCTCAAGAATGCGCTAAGTATGGCCCTGGGTCCATATGGGCTCCAAAACTGTTTTTCCCCAGAACTTGCCCTCTCTGGCCATAAAAAAAAGAAGTGAATGGCCTCTTCTGGACATTTCTAAGCTTAACTTTCTAAACAGGTTTCAGTCCTCACCCCATACTGTACTGTTTAAATTAAAAATGAAACAAATCAAATTTTCAAAACCAGAAGTGGATTTCAGGCCATTTCCATGTTTGCAGTGGGGCAGGGGGAGTAACCCTTTTAGTTCCTGGAAGGTACCAAGGGCATAAAACTGCCCCCCCCCCAGTTGCCCACAAGTGGGAAACAGCATATGAGACAAAATAAAGTGATATTCTCCACCGAACAAATCTTGGCAAGAAAACCCCATGATAGGTTCACCTTGGGTTCACCATAAGTCAGAAACAACCTGAAGGCACACAACAAAAACATATACAGTAGCTTTTCCCAATTTGTGGGGATCCTTTCTGGACCCCTCCCATGAAAATGGTGGCTCACAAATATTTGAGTCCCATTGAAAATGGTGCGTGCATCTGTGTGTGCACCACCATTATATCCCTCCCCACTTGTCCCTCGGTCAAAGAGTGGGGATCATGGACTTGAAGTCCGCAAATGGGGAGGAACAACTGTATATATTTAATATACTTTTAGTCTTTTAGGGAATATACTATTAGGGAAAAAAGAGGATCCCAACAACTATCGCCCAGTTAGTCTGATATCAATGCTAGGCAAGATACAAGAGCAGATCATTAAACAGAGAGTTTGTGAACCTTTAGAAGGGAATGCCATAATCACTAAAAGTCAACATGGG